CAGGGGTAACCATACACCATACTAGAGGCGACACACACTGTACAAGCCTCACTTTTATTGTCATCTTTTATCCTTAAATTCAGACTACATTGGATTTATTGGCAATGGGTCTTGCCAGTGAATGGCACTTTCATTTTTGTTTTGCGAACTTTATTATTATGGAATTAACTATATCCATACCAAATTTCATTTATTTATATTCAGTATTTTTTTAGATATTTGGGAAAATGTCTTCCATCTCTTAATTTTGTCCACCAGTGTATGACTTCCTACTATAGCACCCATGATGAGTAGCTACTAGTCTATGATAAGTTGCAAATAGTTTAAAAATAATTGTAAGACTTGCAATAACATAAATCATTGTGAGAAACAAGTACTGAATATCCAACGCAGGAAAGGGTAATACTTTATGTTATGTTAAAGCTCAAAATGTAAAGCACAAATGTCAATTTGTGTATTTTCATTTATGCTTTATTGACGTTGTTTTTTGCTTTATATAATGAATAGCTATTTAATTATGTTATTTTCAGAGTGTTTTTCTGTAGTCTTTTGACGGATGAGAAGAAAAAGCCAAATAAACTGCAATATTTTTTAGGAGATGTAGAGGTATGTGTATCATATATTTTTCCATGATTCACTCTCATTTTTATATTTATGAAAAGTAATTGTCTTTACTAGTTTCAAAATGCATCTAATGAATTTTATTTTTATATTAAGATTGAGACTGTTCCAGTTAGACATTGTAAAGATGCTTATGGGATTGTTTTAAAAAAAGAAATGGACTGGAAAATCGTTTACTCCGGTGACACTGCACCTTGTCAGAAATTAATTGATGCTGGTAATACAATCATTTTTATGTTGCTCAAGTTTGAATATTGAATGAATTAGAACCAAACTGAAAGCTAATTTTTTCTTTGTTTTAAAATTTCATTTTACCCTCCAAGCATTAGTTGTAGCTTACTTTGCTCTTACAGGGATATGTTTTGCACAGAAAATAGTTTTTAAACATTCTTTACAAAAATACATTGAATTATTTCATTTTGATTTTGCATAGCTTTTTTGTTACAATTTTTTGATAGGGAGATAGAGTGAGAGGAGCTGTATAGTGTTTTATTCATATTTTTTTTTCAGTGTCACAATGTAAATATTAATCCCTACATTTTGCAAGTTGTATAGTAAAAAATATTTTTTCAGAATGTTGATTTATTCATTTGTCACTTTAAGAAAAAAAATGCGAAATATGTTTATTTTTTCTATCTCTGGAGTGTCTTAGCCAAAAAATATACGAGACTAGCATATAAAAAGAATATAGAGGTAAATGGGGTAGTAGGGTGAGACCAGGTACCTCGATTGTGTGGAAATTAGTTCTGTTTTCTAGCGAATAAACTCTGAATTACACTTAACTAGTCAAGAAGGGCTTACCATATTGGCATATCATTTTTGATTGATTCACGGCATCTGTGTAGATATATTTGTTTTACTATGTCAAGTCTCTAATGTTTTTTCGTTTTTAAACTAGCCTTATTTATATAATGTTGCCTGGAGGCAGCTAATTAAGAAAGCCTTGGCCTGCACTAGGCTGTAGTGCTGACGAAGAAGAAGAAGTATTTTGAAACACATATTTTACTTTTTGTGGCTGCTGTGAAAATGTTAATTATCCATTATTTTATACATATGGCAAGCAATTAAAGTTACTTTTGATATGCAAACTGTAATTTAACGCCTTAAAATTGTACACTGTCATGTGATCTCATTTCAAATTTTCATAGTGCTAATACAGTAAAATAAATTTTAATTACGTAAAATTGCACTTTAAACATAGATAGTTTTTGCTTTTTCTGTTAACTTGATGATTTAAAAAAGATGCAATTATCATGTAATATGCTTAAAAATTATCTAAGTATTTATCTAACGAGTTGATTTTAAAATGAATAAAACTAAAAAAGTAGACATTTGTGTTAAAAAAGTTTGCATTTTTTTGGATGAAAAGTAAAGCACGAACTTTTTTTCCCTTCATTTATTTATTTTTGTCTGGGCTTTTTGATCAGAAAAGAAAAATAAACACTTAACTTAGTTCCATGAATTATTAATTTTTTTTTTCTGTTCCATGAATTATTTTTTTATTTTATACAATACATATATTTTTTGAACATGTTATGATATAACTAATTTAAATACAACTAAATTATTGAAATATATCTTAAAACTCTATGTAGTTATAGGTATTTTTAACACATAAAAATGCAACGTTGTTACATTCATTTATATAGAATTCTTATGAGTTTTCATAAATTTTCCTATTTGAAATTTTATTTAAGGTGCTAGATTATGTAATCATATTATCTAAGCTTATCTAACACTTATGTTTACAAATATAAATCACGTATTTTTTCTTTTAAAAAATTATTTTAATATTTGCAATTTTCTTTTAGGTGAAAACTGTACTTTACTTATACATGAAGCATCTATTGAAGACGATTGCATGAATGAAGCTTTGGCTCGGAAACATAGGTAAGTTAGTAATTAATTTTGAATGATTTATTTGTAAAGAAAGACAATGCGTTCTAATATAGTTTGTTAAATTTCTTAATCTGTATTATAAATGTGCAGTGGACAAAATTCATTTTGGATAACTTTTTATGAAATGATCCAAGTTTAAGGCACTTAATTTAAAATGTAATGCGTTAAGAAACACATTTTAAATTTGCTGACTACAATTTTGAATAACAAAAATTATAGAAATATTTGAGATTTTTTTATTTATATTACACAGGTAAATATTCTGTAAAATTTTATTTAATTGGGATGATTGTTATTAAACTAAATTATATTTTATTTATTTTTATTCATTTATTTATTTTTTTTACTTCTGGTTCCCCTTTTTTTGTGGGTCATTTTTTGTTTTTTCAACATTATGGACCCCCTATTAAGCCTATATTATACAGTTAAATATTCTGTAAAATTTTATTTAATTGGGACGATTGTTATTAAACTAAATTATATTTTATTTATTTTTTATTTTTTTTGCATCTTCTGGTTCCCTTTTTTTTGTGGGTCAAGAATCCAAATCTGAGAAGTGAAAATTAATGTTTCTATAGAGATTGAATTCTTATGCCTGATTACCTAAACTTTTTAAATGACTGAACTAATTAGGTAATAAATCTATTTTTGGTGAGCCCCAAAATCATAAAAATTACCATTTAGTATGTGGAAATCTGATCATTAATTCCAAATTCATTCTGAATGAAGCAATTTTTTTTTTTTTTTTTAATATAGTTTATTATAAAGTGGAATAGGAAGTGAATTAAGAACGTAGTGGACATAGAACAACAGAATAGAAGCCTGTAAAAAAATATTTTTTTTTTTTGTGAATTTTGCAGCGATTATGATAAACTTAATACATTTTTTTAACTTATTGTATGTGCGTATTTTAATCTTCATTTTATCATGTTACAAACACAAAAGTTTAAAAAATAGCGATTATATTATTCTATATAATATAATTCTATAGCGATTATATAATTCTATATAAGTTTATAACTTATT